GTCGTTTATCGCGAATGGATTTACAGCGAAACTTTTATCGCGAATCCATAATAGCGAATACTATTCCGCGAATGCAATATCGCGAAACAAATATCGCGAATTTTTTATAGCGAAACCTTTATCGCGAAACCTTTATAGCGAATACATTACCGCGAATACAATATAGCGAAACAAATATCGCGAATTTTTTATAGCGAAACTTTTATCGCGAAACCTTTAATGCGAATACATTACCGCGAAACTTTTATCGCGAATCAATAATCGCGAAATTATATAGCGAAACTTTTATCGCGAAACATTTTAAACGAATACATTACCGCGAAACTTTTCGAATCAATAATCGCGAAAATTTTATAGCGAAACCTTTATCGCGAAACCTTTATCGCGAAACCTTTATCGCGAAACCTTTAAAGCGAATACATTACCGCGAAACTTTAATCGCGAAAATTTTATAGCGAAATTATTATCGCGAAACCCAAATCGCGAAGACAATGTAGCGACAATTATTTCGCGAAACATATATCGTGAAGATATTATAGAGAATTTAATATCGCGGTAATTGCTAATAATATAATTATATTATTTGAATAATATTTTTTAATTCACATAGTTTGTAATTTTCTTATAACCTTAAAAAATTTTTACAATGATTAATTAACTTAGACTGGTTTATGAAATTTGTTATTGAAATACACTTTTTTCGCTATCCTATCCTTTCCTTCGAAGTTCTTATTTTATAATAATCGCGCACAAGGAACTCAGCTTTATCAATATATTAATCATTGAGTTTATTAGTTAAATCTTGATATTTATTGGCGAAATTGATATCTGGGTAGCATTCCTATTTATTGTCTGATGACTTAATATTTATAAATTTATCAATCAATTTTGGCCAGGGTTAGCAAGTCAGTCAAATGACCAGTCAAATGACTAGATTTTGACGGGTCAATTGAACGGGAGAATATTTGACCTGGTCAAGTGGTCATATATTCTATAAGATCTGAATATAAAAATATGTTTGAAAAAGAAAAAACGATATAAATACATGTGAAATGTGATCACAATGCTTATTGAGTTCCTAATATTAAGGAGAGCATTTTAATCATAGTGAATTTAATGAAGTATGTAATATAATAAAAGAATTAGGCATACAAGGTGGTGATCAAAATATTTCAAGCTATATCATAAATTTCAGAAATAAAAGCGGCTTGTTTAATAGAAAATCATGGGGATAGCAGTAACTTCCATAAGAAACAATCAGATTTCAAACTCAAGCAGTGGAATTAGCTTTGACCACCATGGCCATTAAGAGAAGTGACATTACTAACAATTTCTAGATCTACTTCTTCTTCAGAAAGAAATTGGTCGATTTGTGTCAATAATCTTACTAAAACAGAAATCGATTGAAGATTTAGACAAAAAGAAAATTGATTAAAAAATATTAAAGAAAATGATGATATTCAATATAAAATAATATTTATTTGATTTTAACTATATTTGATCGGTCAAATGCACAACCGTGGTTTTGGCAGTCACTATGTAGATGAATAAAGTCTACATTACTGTTTAGAATATCAATTTTGAATGGCAATTCAAAAATAAATTACATCTAAGTGAAATAAGGGATTTCCCCAATTTAAAATATTTATTAATTTTATTATTTTCAATCTTTATATGATATCTTTTTATCTTTTCTGTTTATTTGAAGGGGGGGGGGGAAGGAGGCGTGATAAAATTTTTAGTATAATAACTCGGCATTAATTTCAATTAATTTAAATATAATATTTTGATATGGGTTCTTATTGAATCTTAAATAATTTTAAAATATAATAAAAAAAATAGCTACACTAAAAATTAACAAATAATTAATGACATATTTGATAAATTATAACTATTTTAAAAAAAAAGTATTGCCAAAATTTAAAAAAAAAAATTTTCCCGTCTGGCTGGTGCCATCCCTTTGGTTATAAATTATAAATATTTTCGCCATTCTTTCCTCTTTATTTCGTAGTCTTATAAAATATGTTATCAAGCAAAAATAAGGAGATCTTAACCTTTAAAAATTATTTGTTCCGCCTGGATAAAGTAGTCTCAGATACTAATTATTATAGATGTATCAATCAGGATATTTTTAAATGTCCCGTACGACTCACAAAAAAAAATGGTAAGATAAAAGATAATAATGAAATACACAATCATCCAGAAAATCCAATCGAAATGGAAACCAAGAAAATAATCAATTCAATTAAGAATGAAGCTTTGAATAATACTATGGAAACTCCAAACTTTATTGTGGCGAAACACGTATCTCAATTAAGTGATTCTATATCAATGGCACTACCATCACCGAATCTTATGAAACGTATAATTCACCGAACGCGGAGTTCAAACAGTTTTGCACCTCCGAATCCTAGCAGCCTTATTGAGCTGGTAATTCCGCATGAATATTCAATTACAGATAAATATGAGGATTTCATACTTCATGATGATGGTCCGGTAAGATTTTCTATAAATTTTTTGAACAAATATAACTAAATCCTTCATTTTTGTTGCGATAAGCTGCCCGATAAGAAACACTTTATTATAATTGCTTATTTATTTATCATGTGTGTCAGGTTCCCGACCGTGTTATCATATTTGGAACAAGAAAAAATTTGGACTTCTTAGCTTCATGCGAACATTGGTTTTCTGATGGTACATTTAAATCGTCGCCACCTTTATTTATGCAAATTTATACAATTCATGGGATTAGAAATAATAATGTTTTACCCTCATATATATATTGACCAATAGAAAGGATTATGAAACTTATAAAAGAATATTTACTATTATAGGTGACAACTTAATATCAACTCCAAAAAAAATTATGACGGATTTTGAAATGGCCAGTGTAAAAGCTTTCAATGAAGTGTTTCCCAATTCGCAACACAAATGTTGCTATTTCCATATTTGGCCAATCCTTTTGGCGAAACATTCAAAAATATCCAGAAATATCGCATAAATATAAAACAGATGTAGAATTTAATATACAACTTAGAATGATGGTTTGTTTGGCGTTTGTGCCACCCTTAAATGTAGTTGAAACATTTGAATTACTAATAAACTCCGAATTTTATTCTAATAATCAATTGTTACTTCAGCCTCTAATTGAAACTTTTGAAAAAGCTTATATTGGTAAAACGTTTGGAAGAGGCAGACTACCTGCTTTGTTTAATATTGAACTCTGGAATTGTTACCAATCAACACTGAACGGGGAAGCGAAAACCAACAACGCGGTTGAAGGGTGGCATAGATGCTTCAGTTCCCTCCTAACAAGTTACCATCCAAACATGTGGAAATTTATATCAAGTTATCTATATATCTATTATTTTAAAATGATTTAAAAAGTATAAAGATTTACTAATAAACTATATAAATTTTCCTAGGCTTAAAAAAACAACAAGGGTTGACAGAGTTAAAAATTGCTCAATATAATTCTGGTGAAACACCCTCTACCCCGAGAAAAAAATATCGAAATCTACATGCGAGAATAGTAACAATTGTTTCTGACTTCGAAAATCGATCAAGATTAGATTATCTTAAAGGAATCGCTATTAATATAACATTGAATGTTTAATTTTTTAAATTCTTATCTACAATAATAAAAATTTTGTTTGTTTTTATATAATAGTCTCAAAATTTTTATATTTTCATTATTTTTTTGTGACAAAAATATAGGATACTTTGGTATAAAATTTAGCTGGTTACATAAGACTCATTCAACAAGATATAGATTTTATGAGGGTATTTACAAATTCTTTTATAAGTGTGTGACACATTCTTTATCTACCACATCAATCCCACGATTAATATTTCAAAAATAACTACCTTTCGTCATGCATTATAAAATTATTTTAAAATTCATATTCCTAGCCCTTGAGTCATATAGTTGTTTCCCCTTACAAATATGATCATTTTTGATGAGCAACATTATTAGAAAAGTACTATTAAAATAATACTCAAGTATTACACTAAAGGGCAAAGTTTAAAACGAGGATTACATTTTCCTTTTATTTATTAAAGCATATAAATTTATATCGGGGTGTTTTTGTCAGATTTTTTTCCCATGGTTATTTTTAACCAGTCTTTGTTCAAATCAGTGATTCTTTTAAAAATTTACACTTCAGTTATATATTTAACAAACAAACCTATTGGTTTAGACGATATGTTATGACAATGCTCTACTTTTTCCTTCACATATTCAATAAAAAAAAATTATTTTTTAAATAAATGATATCAACCCTCTCAAAACTTTTAACCTCCTGCAAAATATAAATAATTTTAAAAAAAAATACCTTTCATCCCTTTCCAATTTTTCAAATAATGATAATTA